GAGCTGCCAATCAGAGAGAAATAGTACTGTTTTGCCTTTTTATTAAAGATCCATGTTGAAGAAATTGGGAGGCAGTATATAACAGCAATTAACAGCACATACTTAGGTTTAAATTCTGGCCATGTGGCCTTGGGCTAATTGCTTAATCTCTCTGAACTTCATCTGTAAAAGGGGATATGAATATGAGCTCACAGGTTGTCACAAGATAAAACATGACAGCGTTTACTCAGCACAGTGCCTGGAACATGGTAAGAACCAGTGATGATTATTATTATCCCTAATAAACTCGAGGGTAGGGTCTGACTGCTTCCTGGAAGTTTTCATGTGAGGCCACTATCAATACTACTTGATTTCATTTTTCTTTCCTCTTTCTTCCTTCTTTCTTTTCTTTTCTTTTCTTTTCCTTTCTTTCTTCTTACTTCCTTTCTCTCCCCCCACCCCTTTCCCTCTCTCCCTTTTTTAAAAAATTCTTTTAGGCTGGAGTTACCCTTTGTAGAAAATAGAAATAAAAAGGTTAGATTCTATTATGTTTTAACAAAAAATACTCATTTCAAGGAACCTAACTAGAACTAGAAAATGCAGAATCGATTTTTAAATTTAAATCTAGAGATTCCCACTATGCCTGGGAAGCAGCAAGAGGCCTCAGCACCAAAACACTTTCCAGAAAGCTGGAGGAGAGGCCTTGGCCTGATTCACCGTTGCCCTGGCAACAGTAGGGCCCAGAGGCCTCTGGCCCTGATCCCTTAATCTGAAGAGCCACTACCACATTGCCTCAGGCAAGGTGCCCGCAGACACCTGGCTAGTTAAAGCTACCCTAACAGGGGGGACAGAGAAAATATGGAGGTGGGCTCTTTCTGCCTACAGGTCTCCATGATGGTCTCGGCTCTCCAGACTCCCAAAGGCTGAGTCTAGAGAATTCGGCCACAGAATCTCCACCAGGTTCTAAGTGTGGTCATGGCAGTGGATGGCTTCCTGATCCTTTGTTTCTCCATGAAGGTCAGCACAATGCTTTGCACACATATATTAATAAAAATGGGGGCTGTGTGACAGTGAGCATCCCTAAGGTGCCAGGCCCTGCTCCATTTGCTGACCTCCATGAGTGACCAAGCCAGCACAGGCAACCTGCTCCTCTTTGTCTCAACTTCTCCAGTTGGAAAACCATAGGCTGGACACCAAGGCCATTTTTGCCTCTAAAAGTTTTATTTTCTTACTACATTCATAATTTTGACAAACATATGGCACAGAGCATGTTCTGCTTATATGTTGTTTTCCTTCATTTTGTCTAAGAATAAAATGGAATAATTTGAAAGAGGCGCTGGCTTTCCTTTTTTCAATAATCTTTCAGGTCCCAGGGAAAGAACTTTGTGGCCAAGCACATGGACTTCAGAATAAGACACAGATTCAAATCCTGGCTCTACCATTTGATTGCTGTGTGACTTTGGGCCTATTTAATCTCTCTGAACCTCAAGCTCCTCGCCTATAAAACGAGTCAAACGATGCACACAGCAGAATTATGCATTGTTTAGAAGGCAAAGTCTTCTAAAGTAAGATGTGCTCAATAAGTGGCAATTATTCTTTCTGGTACAGAACCCCATGGGGCCAGTGGCAAGTGACAATTTAGGAGTTCGAAAGTCTGGCTTTCTAATTAAATTAAGGGCACTCTTGGGAAGCACTATGAAAGAGTCCCAGATACCCAGTAAGGAGGGTATTACCCACTGCAAACTCTGGTGAGCGGCTGCTTGTTCTCAAGAGCTTGGACTTGGGTGCATGGTCCAAACCTGGTCTCAAGCCCTGATGAGCTGTGTGCCCTCGGGCAAGTTATTTACCCTTTTTCAAGCCTCAGTTTCAACATCTGCAAGGTGGGCTGATGACATGAGGACATGCCTCATAGAGGTAAACTCTGAACATAATATATAAGCAGCTAAAACAGTGGGAGCGTGGTTAATTTCAAACATGCTGCTGCCAATGTGAATTTATTTATTGACCATTACATCTTGTACCTGGAGGAAGTTGGCAAACATTTTCTGGCTGGGAATCATTAGATGTCAGTGTTTCATTCCTATTGTTGGTCCAGGGGACTTTCTCCCATTTGCTATCCTCTGTGTACGTTTCAGGGGTTAAACCTACTCATTTTGCAGTGAGTTGCTGTCTGATGTGATTCAACGTTAAAGGGGAAAAAATTTGTGTAAGGCAGTTGGTGAGTTAGCTGGCACATAATGTACTCAATTGTTAAACATCATTATTCTCACTAGCTTCTATAGTGTACAACTTTACTTTTCCTTTTAAATTTTTTTGGTTAATCTTCACCCAAGGATATCCCCCCCCCCCCCCCCCACCACCAACAACTATGATATCGTGACCCAGTGTAGTTGCCTATGTGGTTTGATTTGAACTTCCTCACATGAAAATAATTTTCCGCTTCTGCTTGCTGGGGAAATTTCCTTTTCAGAGATTCATTCTTTTAAAATACACTGCCAGCCCACCACCTATGTGAACTTCTGTTTTAATGAAATTAAGCTGGCATTATTAGCTAGAAGCTCATAATGAAATTTTAGCTTCTAGACAACTTCTATCAAAACTTTAGTAGGTGCCAATGCCTTTGCTATGTATTTATTCTTTGTTATTTAAGCCTCAGAACAATGGGAACTTTGTTATCCCCCTGAACAGATGCGGAAGTTGGTATTCTGTTAATTTGTGCAAGTTCACACAACTAAATTGAAATCTACATCTGCTTGACCCCAGAGGCTGTCCACACTTCAGTGACCATCTCTGTAGATGTCGGCCTCGGACCACTATGGAACTTATGCCAGGTGGAAAGTGAGAATCATGATGGTATCAAGGTGTCAGGATGAGGAGGGACGACTGGAGTACAGGGTGCTGGATGCTTAGAAGGAAGAGGCCTGAAGAGGGGGTTAAAGCCCAGGAAAGGGAGATAGGGACACAGATTCCCTGACAGCCCAGCTCCACATAAGAAGTACCAGTCTTTGACTATACTGAATCCTTTACACCAGATGCCTAGAAAAAGAAAGCTTGTTAGCACCATTCTTGGTAAATGCATAACAAATGAAGTTACTCTCTGAGTTCCTACCCTGGATTTCATCCCAAAACATCATCTTTCACTTGAGTCAGAATATTTCCAGCACTCTTTGGTCCTCAAATTCCAGGACTAGTCAAGATTTGGAGCAGCAATGGCCCTCCACTAAATATTTCCAAAAAATCTCTGCTAACACCTCTTCAAGGCTTCAAATACGCTGGTGTTCAAAAGAGCCATTTCCTCAGCCATCCTTCAACATCATCATGACCCATCCATTGAATACAGTTGGTTCTCCCATGTCTATGGTAGGATTCCTTCTCCAGGTTCAGTCTTTTGCCATCTATTTGCATCAATGTTCTCTCCTGCTCAGCAGTCTTCGGTGATTTCTCATAAAAGGTCAAATTCAAACTCCAGTCTTGAAGTCTGAGATCCCTCTGCACCCCAGGTCTACTCCAAGCCAACCTTGTTGACCCTGTTTTCTCTCCACAAGTTCTCTCACAAATCAATCACTGTTCTCTCATCAATTAGAGCCCACTTTCCACACTTCTGAATACCCCCACCCAAAGGCCTTCCTCATTTTCCTCATCTATGGAATTCTCCCAGCCCACAGATCCACCTCCACGGAGAAGCTGTCCTGACTTCTCCAGCTCCTGTGGTCAGTAGAGCACTGTGTGCTTGGCACTGTTTCCTGCATATAAGTCCCTGCTTCTGGATGTGACTCCTCTCCAGCTGGTTCTGGAGATCCGGATTAAGACTGGCCACCTCTCCAGCTCTTTGTGCCAACCCAGCCTCTGCCCCTGCTCTGGCTGCCTGCCTTGATGTCCTACCATCCTTTTACAAATTTGCAGTGTAAACAGAGAAGTCATATCCTTTCAAGAATCAGCTTTTGGGTGTCACTTCCCCTTTCCGTGATTTATGCATCTTTACAAGGAAAGGAGGTGGGTTGACTGCTATGGTCCTTTCAGACAATAGTGTAGCATCTCCTCCAATTCTCCTGTGTGTTGGCCCCCCTCCCCACTCCCAGACTCACGACTTAGTCTGCCTACTTCTTGTCTCTCAGGTCAGTCTCTCTGCCTCCTGCGAAGTCTGGCCTCCCCAGTTCTCATGGAGGAGTGGGGCACTCCATTAGCCTCCATGAACTGGCCCATATTACCTCAATTCTCTCTGGGTCACTGCCAAACCCAGGAGCAGAATGAGTCATTTGCTCTGTGGGCAATGGAACATGCCTGCATTTTCTCTAGGCCTCGCTGGATGGCAATTGGTAATGAATACCCAGCGAAACCAGGGTGCATTCATGCATGTAACAAATCTAGAGAGTTTTAGGGCAACATACAAACAAAATTAAAAAAAGTCCAGAATGGTGTCTTCTTTTATGGTTTCCCCTAAGACTGGCCCCAGGGGCCTCTGCACCCCTTCCCTATGCCTCCCTGCCACCAGCCACACCACCCTCCAGCCACATTTCAAGCTCAGCAGGCTGCTTGGTCCTGAGGGATGCACCCAGCTTTTGCTGTAGGACCATCTTTCCAGGCCATGTTAGACCTGTCACTCTTCCTGCCTCCCCCTGAACTCCCACTTGTCTGCCCACATCAGGGCACCAGGAGCTTCTACACTTCCACAGGCCCATTCACTGTTTCAAGCTCCTTAGCCCTGTCTCTCTTCGATTTTATAATCAGTGGGATCTGCATCCCCTTCACCATCCAACATAGGGAATAAGCACATAAAAGGGACTCAAGAAAACCTGTCAACTGACACTAGGCACATGATGTCCCTTGGCCACCTTCTCAACCCCTCCCCTTCAAAACCAAACAAAAACGGCAAACAGGAAACACTCATCTTTTAAAAAATTACTCTATTATTATCAAATAGAACCACAGTATCCAAAAGGTAATTATAAAGTTCTATCCCCAACTAAGTGCCCTTGCACCGCCCCTCCCAGTGGCAGGCGGCCAAATCACTCCCCCCGTGCTGATTGGTTTCATCCATTTTATTGTCAAGGAAATTAACAGCCCGAAGGGGTTCCCCCAGGTCCAAGCTCTCCCCACCCCTGGAGCCCCAGTAAACACGGCAGCAAGCGACCTGGTCTCAGGACCCCTGTGTCCTTGGGAGGAGGGACGAAAGGAGAGAGGGGCTCACAGCAAAGGGGCTGGGGGCTTAGAGGGGTGCCCTGCCCGCTGGGTTCAGGCCTCTGGGCAGGCAGGCTGGGCGGCGGCTCATTCGCCTGTGTGGGTCCGCAGGTGGTACTTGAGCGACTGCTTGTAGCGGAAGCACTTTGCGCAGTGCGTGCAGGGATAGGGCCGCTCGCCTGTGTGGGCACGCTGGTGCTCCAACAGGTGATGCTTCTGCGTGAAGCGCTTGCCACACTCCGCGCAGTGGTAGGGCCGCTCGCCTGTGTGGATGCGCCGGTGCTCCAGCAGGTGGTGCTTGCGGATGAAGCTCTTGCCACACTCTGGACAGGAGTGAGGGCGCTCCCGGGAGTGCACGCGACAGTGGTTGGTGAGCTTGGATTTCTCGCTGAAGCTCTTCTCGCACTCGGGGCACTTGAAGGGCCGCTCGCCCGTGTGAGTCCGCTGGTGGCGCAGCAGGTGAGAAGGGCGGCTGAAGCTCTTGCCGCACAGACTGCAGATGAAGGAGACTTCGTGTTTGCCCGCATGCACACGCTGGTGGATGACCAGGCTGATGTGCAGGCGGAAGCTCTTCTTGCACTCCGGGCATGTATAGGGCCGCTCACCCGTGTGCGTGATCTGGTGCTTGGTCAGGCTCGACTTGTGGCTGAAGCTGCTGTCGCACTCGGCGCACTTGTAGGGCTTGGGGCCACCGCCACTGCCTGAGCTGGGCGACTTGGGGCGTGGCTTGAGCGTGTGCTTGGAAGTGAAGCCTGGCCCACGCTCTGGCGACACGTAGCCTCCACGGACACGATGGATGCGCTGGTGCAGCGTGAGCTGCTGCTTGTGCCGAAAGCTGACCTCGCACTCAGAGCACTGGTAGGGCCCCTCCTTGATGTGGTTGCGCTGGTGGATGATGAGGTTGATCTTCAGCCGGAAGCTCTTGCCGCACTCCATGCAGGTGAAGGGCCGCTCTCCACGCCGGTTCCGCTGCTGCTGACTCGAGGAGCTCCGGTTGTCGCTCATGTGCCGGTCACCCATGTGCCGGTCGCCATGGGACATGGGCGCCAGCCTCTTCACCACCGGGTTTCCTAGCTGCAGGGGCGGGGGGCTCTCCTCGCCCTCAGGGGACAGCTCCCCTGGCAGCGGGGTCTGGTATATGCTGGCGCTGTATCTCCCGGACAGCTCCCCGAGGTCCTGCAAGTGCTGCGGCAGCTCGTCCTCCTCCTCTTCTTCCTCCTCCTCCTCCTGTTCCTCGGTTTTGATCACGATCCCCTCTGCTCCAGGCACAGGAAGGGAGAGACAGCAAGAAGACATTAGCTGCTGCCTAGCGCTGGCAACGCGAATCTAGGTAAGCATCGCTCCATCCTCACCAACAAGCATGGCACAAATATTGTCTCCCTAATTCCTTTCTTTGGGACAAGACTTTCCAGTGCCTGCCACTGTGATCCCCACAGCCACAGGGTTGGATAAATAACCAATATATCCATTTGGTTCAGGAATGAGCCCAGACCCTCTCGGAACTTTACGTAAGGCGAGTTGCTGGTGCCCGTTTCCCACATTGCTAGTAATCAGAAGGAAAGAACACCAGTATGTGAGTCCTCTTGAGGGGCCCCCCAGATCCAGGTGCTGAGGTTGGCATACATGTGAACCTACCAGTTATTCAAGCCCATAAACTAATTTTCCATTTAAGCTACTTAAGGGTTGGGTTTCTTCATGCTGTATCCGAAGGGTCTTGACTCATCAAGTTGTCACTGGGTCTCCTCTACCTGAACTCAGCTCTGCCCCACTGGCTACATCTTTTCTGACTCAACTGGAGATTTCTCCTCAGGTACCTTTACTCACCCCCGTCCCATCAATTAACACCCAGCTCCAATCCTCTCATCTCCCTAAAACCTTCCCTGATCATCCCAACCTGCAGCCCTCAGCATGTGGGGTGCACCTTCTCAGGACCGAGAATTCAGCCTTCCCCTGCAGCATCTCACCTGCACAGGTGGATGACTCACCTGCACAGTCAGGCTCTACCAACCCTGAAGCTGGGGTAGGGGGTTTCATCTGCCTTTCCCACAAGCCCTGGTGTGAATGCCACAAACACTCCCACTAACGAATGTCCTGCCCCTCCCCCCTCTAATCTGGAATGTCCTCCCCCTCCCCCCTCTAATCTGGTCCTTTACGACCTAAATAAGGCTGTGTTCCTGTGGCCCATGAGAATGTAAGTCCTAGGGAAAAGGAGTGGCCTCCCACGCCTGTTTGGGTTTTCTCAAGTGCCTTGTACTTATTTGGTACTCCCTAAACACTGTTAATGGGGGATTCTATTTTTAGTCACACTGACCAACTTTGTGTGACCTGAGAAAGTCACTTTTCTAATCCCACCTGTGAGATGGAAGATGCAATAACAATCTGCACTTGTGGAATTCTTAAAAGCAAACAGAGAACTTTTCCAAAGCACTTCATACCTATTCTCTCTTTTCATATTCACTGTATCTTATCCCCATTTCACAGACATGGGGCATCCAAGACTGTAGATATCAAGTTGTGTTCCCAAATAAAGTAAATAAAGTCAGAACTTCCAGAGCTTGCAGTTTGGGAACCACCTACTCAATCCCCTCAACTGACAGAGAAACTGAAGCTGGCAGCGTCTGTGACTGGCAAGGTCTTGTAAGTTTATTAGTGACTGCTAGGCCATAGCACTTTCTACTACTCCAATTGCAGTGTAATAGTCAGAACATAGATGTGCTGAGCTCCATAAGACAACGCTGCCTCAGTACTGTCAGGATTCTTGACAGCAAGTGATCTAGAAGGTCCTAGGACCACAATGCTTAAAAGACAGGGAAGGAGGAAGCAGCTTTCGAGGCTGGTAACTAGCTGCCCTGGTGTTTATCCAGGGTTGTTTGTGAAAGACAGAGGGGGAAGCGTAGGCCTTAGAGGATTCAGACTCTCCAGCACATTTTATATTTATATATTTTATTTCAGAGAGAAAGAGAAAGAATCTCAATGACTCAGCATCAGAGTTGTTTTTTCTTAATGAAATAAGAATGGAACATCTGGCCCTAAAATTCATGGCTCAAAATCCCAAAAGGACTATTTAGTAATTTTCTAAGGTTCTAATAGAATTAGTGGGGACTGTTCAAAGGACAATCTGGAATTTCTGTTATGAAGGTCTAATTTAGCATCTACTCACAATCTGCTTTGTGTCTTTCACTATTCTTTTTTTTTTTTTTAAATATATTTTACTGATTTTTTACAGAGAAGAAGGGAGAGGGATAGAGAGTTAGAAACATCGATGAGAGAGAAACATCGATCAGCTGCATCCTGCACACCCCCTACTAGGGATGTGCTCGCAACCAAGGTACATGCCCTTGACTGGAATCAATTCACTATTCTTTTGTGAAAGACAACACGGTATATTAAAAAGACTTCTGAAGCAGCATGCAGTTATTTAAAAACTAGAGGCCCGGTACATGACATTCGTGCACTGGAGGGCGGGGGGTGTCCCTCAGCCCGCCCTGCACCCTCTCGCAGTCCAGGGTCCCTTGGGGGATGTCTGACTGCCGGCTTTGGCCCAATCCCCAAGGCCTAAGCTGGCAGTCGGACGTCCCCAATGGCTTCTGGACTGCAAGAGGGCACAGGCCAGGCTGAGGGACGAATTTCGTGCACTGGGCCTCTTGTATAGGATAAGGAGCTAGCCCTGGCTGGTGTGGCTCAGTTGGTTGGAGCATTCTCTTGTACACCAAAAGGTTGCAGGTTCGATTCCTGGTCGGGGCACATACCTAGGTAGCAGGTTTGATCTCCAATTGGGGCATGTATGGGAGGCAACCAATCAATTTTTCTCTCTCACATTGATGTTGCTCTCTTTTTCTCTCCTTCCCCTTTCTCTCTCTACAATTAAAAATATATATACATATATCCTTGGGTGAGGATAATAAAAAATGTGTAAAAGATAAAAAAATAAGGAACTAGATCCACATTTTTTGACCAAGGATGTCCACATTTTATTAGGTGCAAAAAGGCAAACTGCAGAGGAATCACCTACAGATAAAATAAAAAAACTTTTAAAAATCAACATAATACTTTAAAAAACCTAACTAAAATGCCCTGGCCAGGTAGCTCAGCTGGTTAGTGTCATCCAATATGCCAAGGTTGTGGGTTTGATCTCCCGTCAGGGCACATATGAGAAGTAACCAATGAATGCATGAATAAGGGGAACAACAAATCAATGTTTCTCTCTCTCTCTCTCTCTCTCTCTCTCAATTCAATAAATAAAAATTGGAAAATAAATAAATAGAAAATGGATGTGGACATATTTCTAAATATAAAGAATATATAAACTGCTATGATGGTTGACTTTCACACATAATCAATTATCCAAACCCAAGTGAGTTCTACCAAAAATTCAAGGAACAGCCCTAACCGGTTTGGCTCAGTGGATAGAGCGTCAGCCTGCGGACTCAAGGGTCCCAGGTGCGATTCCGGTACCTTGGTTGCGGGCACATCCTCAGTGGGGAGTGTGCAGGAGGCAGCTGATCGATGTTTCTCTCTCATTGATGTTTCTAACTCTCTATCCCTCTCCCTTCTTCTCTGTAAAAAATCAATAAAATATATTTTTAAAAAATGTTAAAAAAAAATTCAAGGAACATACTTAGTTCCTATATTATACATTACTTTTAGAATATAAAAAAAGAGCAAAAGCTTTCCAGATCACTGGTTAAGTCTACTACAATATTGTTTCCAATACAGATAAGGGTGATTCAAGAGAACTTCAGGTTCATTTTATTTATGAATGCAGTTATAAAGCTCCTGTATAAAATAGTAGCTAACAAGGTCTAATATAGGTTTAAGAAAGACACCATCACAATCAGGTAGGGCTTCTTCTTAGGAATGCATGGATGGTTGGTTCAGCATCAGAAAATGACCACAAAAGATATCCTGGGATGAGGCTGTGCAAGCCCACTTTCTACTGTTCTCCTTGGACTCATAAGTTTGCAGAATGGTGACCCTGAAATTTTATAATTAAATGAAAATGATGCCTAGATTCTACTAAAAAAGCACAGTCAGTTGTTTTAAAACATGTGCTCTCGCCTGGCCAGTGTCGCTCACTGGTTGAGCGTTTACCTATGAACCAGGAGTTCACAGTTCAATTCCCATTCAGGGTACATGCCCAGGTTGTGGGCTTGATCCCCTATAGGAGGCGTGTAGGAGGCAGCCAATCAATGATTCTCATCATTGATGATTCTCTCTCTCCCTTCCTCTCTGAAGTAAAATATCCTATATAATAAAAGGCTAATATGCAAATTGACCAAACGGCAGAATGACCGGTCGCTATGATGTGCACTGACCACCAGGGGCAGACGCTCAATGCAGGAGCTGCCCCCTGGTGGTCAGTGCGCTCCCAGAGGGGGAGCGCTGCTCAGCCAGAAGCAGGGCTCACGGCTGGCGAACACAATGGCGGTGGTGGAAGCCTTTCCCGCCTCTGCGGCAGTTGGACATCCCCCGAGGGCTCCCGGACTGTGAGAGGGCGTAGGCTGGGTTGAAGGACCACCCCCCCAAGTGCACAAATTTCATAGGTGGACATCCTCCAAGGGATCCTGGACTGTGAGAGGGTGCAGGCCAGGCTGAGGGACCCCACCCCCAGTGCATAAATTTCGTGCACCAGGCCTCTAGTCTATATATATAAAACCCTAAGCAACCGAACCACCAGTCAACCAGTCACTATGATGTGCACTGACCACCAGCGGGCAGACACTCAATGTAGGAGCTGCCCCTTGGTGGTCAGTGCGCTCCCACAGTGGAAGCGCCACTCAGCTGACCAATGGGCGCCAGATGCCAGGCTCACACCTGGCGAGTGCAGCTGCTACTGGTGGCAGAAGGTGCAGCAGGGCTGGGATGAGTGGGAGCGGCTCTTCCCCAGCTGCCTGCCGCTTCATGCACTACTACATCCCTCGGGGGATGTTGGACTGCCAGTTTTGGCCAGATCCCCGCAGGCCAGGCCTCCTGTGGGGATCGGGCCGAAACCAGCAGTCTAAGATCCCCTGAGGGGTCCCAGATTGCAAGAGGGCGCAGGCCAGGCTGGGGGACCCCACCGGTGCACGAATCCGTGCACCGGGCCTTTAGTATATATATAAAATGTGCTCTGGCCCTAGCCAGTTTGGTTCACTGTTTAGAGCATCGGTCCTTGGACTGAAGGGTCCTGGGCACGTGCAGAAGGCAGCCAACTGATGTGTCTCTCTCACATTGATATTTCTTTCTCTTCCCCTTCCTTACACTCTCTCTAAAAATCAATGAAAAAAAGATCTTGAGGTGAGGATTAACAAAACAAAAAAACGTGCTCTCCAAGGGTTGAAATTTTCAAGTCAGGTGAGAGATCTAGTGTGACATAAGAACAATCAAGGACATGTCAGCACAGGGAAGTTTTAGCTTTGCCACCATCTTGGGCAATTCATTTGAGCTTCTCCTGCCTGTAGAAGGAGGGATCCTGCCTGACCTAGTATTTGGCTTTAACACCTCTTCCCTAGCCCAGAGACAGATGCTCATAAACCCTGAGGCAGGAAGCTTGTACCTGAGGTTGTGCTTGGTTTCTGTCACACCTGTTGAACCATCAGTGTCCCTGCCCCGACTGACCTGTGCAGTTTCTCTGCTGCACCAGCATCTGCTTGAGCTCGCTGAACTCGCCGGAGCCTTCTGTGGACTCCTCCAACATGTTTTCCTGCTCCTGCATGTCCAGATCTGGCTGTTCTCCACACGGGTCACCCAGCTCCGAGTCCTGGAAGCCATGTTCTTCCACCTGTCCCATCAGGGGCTCTGGCGTCTCCAAGCTCTCTGAGCCCTCGTCGTTGGTCTGCACCTCAATCTTAATCACGATGCCGTCATGGGCTGAGAGAAGGTGGAGGGGTGAGGGAAGGAGGACAGAAGAACCCAGAACACATTCATTCTACCTGCCCTAGAATTTACATTTCAAAAACTCTTATATTTCCTGAAGAAATGTAATACTAAGTTGGCATTGATTTGACATAGAATTTTCTGGACCTGACTTTTTTTAAAACTTGCCTATAAGTCTGAAGGCTAATTTCAAATGTCATTACCTACACAGGCATCATTTTACATAAATGGGATTATGGCATACTTTTTTGTCCTTTAGTACAGTATTTTTTTCCTTTTAATTTGCCTTCCTCTCCCCTCATTTCCCATTTCATAGTTATGACCTTCCCTGGTAACCCTGTAACTAATCTAGTACCTTTCTCTACAGGTAGGCTAATGCATTCCTTTTGAATATTGCACACACACTATGGTGAGAATGATACTGTAATGTGTTCAACTAGTCCCTTATTGAAGAACATTCACTTTTTCTTCCCAGTCTTTTGCCATGATAAACCATACTGCAATAAACATTTATTTATTTATATCTCTAACTAAAAAATTGCGGTTTTATTTCTATGAGAGTCCCAGGAGTGTTAATGCAAAGCCAAGAAGTGTATTTTTAATTCTGATGAATGTCATCAGACTGCTTTTCAACAAGGCTGTGACAATTCAGATTTCTACCAGCTCACCAAGAGAACATACTTTCCCCACATTCCTGCCAGCAACAGACACCATGTACTTTTAACTTTCCTCAGATGGGTATAAAGTGATAACTTTTGATACTTTAATTCCATGTCCCTAAGTTTATCTAAATATCATTTCTTTATTAGCCCTTTAGATTTGATTATATGCCAATCATGTTCTGCTCAATTTTTAAGAGTCTTTTGATTTTTGTGTTAAAGATAACCCATTTGCTCTTATCAACATTTCAAATACTTCCACGAAATCTATCATTTGTCTGCTGACTCTGTTGCCTTCTATCACACATATTCCTTAAAGTTTTCATATTGTCAAATGTGTCCCTCTTTCTCTTTATGGCTCCTGAGTTTTCTTCATTAGTTAAGAGGATCTGCCCCATCCTAGATGGTTCATCTGGTCTCCTAGATTTTGTTTTAAATTATTTTTGTTAGTTTTCTAGTTTCTTCTTTTTTTAAAATATAGTTTTATTGATTTCAGAGAGGAAGGGGGAGGGAGAGATAGAAACATCAATGATGAGAGAGAATCAATTGGCTGCCTCCTGCACACCCCCCACTGGGGATCAGCCCGCAATCTGGACATGTGCCCTGATCAGGAATCGAACCGTGACCTCCTAGTTCATAAGTCGATGCTCAACCACTGAGGCACGCTGCCCAGGCTGGTCTCCTAGATTTTATTCCAAAGTTTTTGTTGATTAATTATGTACACTTAAGTCTTTACTGCATCTGAAATTTATTTTTGTTTTGTGTATGGTGTGAGTTAGAAGTTCCACTTTATTTTCTTCCCTCTGAGTTGTGCCAACATAAACCCCCTTGCAGGCTGAACATCACTTTGTTAATTAAGGAAATAATAAATGTATAATGCATAAACATATCTGTTCTTTCATTGAATGCTTACTCAATAGATATTTATTAAGCACAAACTATGCCGTGTTCTAGTGACTTGATCCCAAGTCACTAGAACACTGGTGAACAAAGCAGAGTTCCCTGCATCATATATCCTACATAAGGCAATAAAAATAACCAATAAATTCTATGGTATGTTAGAAGGTGGTAAGTACTGTGGAAAAAAGAGAAGAAATTATGCCACAGCCCTTCTGGCTCAGTGGATAGAGCATCGCCTGCGGACAGAAGGGTCCCAAGTTTGATTCCGGTCAAGGGCACATACCTCAGTTGTAGGCTCCTCCAGGGCCCAGGCCCTGGTGGGGACTTGTGCAGGAGGTAACCAATCGATGTGCTTCTCTCACATTAATATTTGTCTGTTTTTCCCTCTCTCTTCCACTCTCTCTAAAAATCAATGGAAAAATATC